CATGGCATGTTTCCGGTGTCAAATCCTCATCTGTGGTTTGAGTCACATTATATCTTTGTGGTTACCAAAATTTCATGTCGCATCATTTGTCCGGTTCCCCAAACTGATTCTCAGAATAATAAGCAGTGATCGTTGAATGTATTGGTTTACCCAGCCCCACCTAGCAACACACACAAAAAGACCCCACTCAGCAACACACACAAAAAGATCCCACCCAGAAACAAACACAAAAAGACCTCACCGATCAAAACACACAAAAAGACCCCACCCAGCAACACGCACACATAACCCCTCGGCAAAACACACACACGGCGCCACCAAACACACACACACACACACACACGGCCCCACCAAGCAACACACACACACACACACGGCCCCACCAAAAACAACACACACACACATGGCCCCACCAAGCAACACACACACACGGCCCCACCAAGCAACACACACACACACGGCCCCACCAAACAACACACAACGGCCCCACCAAACAACACACACACACGGCGCCACAGAACAACACACACACACACACACGGCCCCACCAAAAAACACACACACACACACGGCCCCACCAAACAACAACACACACACGGCCCCACTAAACAACATACACACACGGCCCCACCAAAAACAACACACACACACACACGGCCCCACCAAGCAACACACACACACACGGCGCCACCAAACAACATACACACACGGCGGCGCCACCAAACAACACACACGGCCCCACCAAGCAACACACACACACACGGCCCCACCAAGCACACACACACACACGGCCCCACCAAACAACACACACACACGGCCCCACCAAAACACACACACACACACGGCCCCACCAAACAACATACACACACACACACTGCCCCACCACACAACACACACACACGGCCCGACCAAACAACACACACACACACACACACACACACACACGGCCCCACCAAACAACACACACATACACACGGCCCCACCAAACAACACACACACACACGGCCCCACCAAACAACACGCACACACGGCCCCACCAAGCAACACACACACACCAAACAACACACACACACACACAGCCCCACCCAACAACACACATAGGGATATCGTACACTGAGAGCACGCTGTTCACAGCAATATTAAAATTTATATAAACGTTCTTCAAACTCCATTCAATAGATCAAATTACTTGTCACAGCTTGCACATTCCCTTAATACACGTATTCAGTTTGTATCGAAATTGTTACCTTGTTCATTTATGTTACACCCAACTCACTGCGAAAAAGGTGTATTCCGTATATTAACAATAATGTCTGTATTGTGATGTTTATGTAACCCATTATCCACACACACACACACACACACACACACACACACACACACACACACACACACACACACACACACACACACACACACACACACACACACACACACACACCCACACCACACACACACCACACACACCACACCACACACACCACACCACACACACCACACACACACGTGTAGCATTACTAGTTTACCATGATTCCGAGACACATGGTCATGTAGTCGGAATCTTAGAATGGACTCGGCTTTTAGTCGATTGTTTCGATAGTTCGATTGTTTTTTCAGTAAATACACTGCATACATGATAGAATATGGTTATCCATTGAAATATACATATTTTTTACATTTACAAAAGGAGGCTGGACAAAACATTTCGGTACTTGCATGCATAACTTCATGTATTTACATAATTTTGCAATAATATCTTTAGATGTGTTTCTTAATAATTCCAAAAATTTCAACATACTTGGTTTCTTCCAAAAATAAGGTTTAATCACCTGTTTTCGATGTACTGTATGTTTTGGGCAAATTAAAACGAAATGGTATTCATCTTCAATTACATTTACATTATTTTCTTTACAGTAGATACAATATCTTTTCTCCCGATCAATATTTTCATAACGCCCAGTTTCAATTTTTAATTATGACACGAAATTCGTAACATAGTTAAATACCTAACAGTGATTGGATGTAAAGCATCTAAGTATAACTCATATCCAAATACACTTTTGATATTACTGTATAGTCATAATGTACTACTTGAAGTAATGTCATGATGCCATTTTTGAATAAAACAATCAATTAAGCGTTGCTTAAAATGACAACAAAACGTACTAGCGTCAACAAATCCTGGGTCACACCAAACATATCCAAAACCATATATAAATAAAACATTTTTAACATGGAACACCCAGTTTTTGACGCCATTATTACACTGTGACAACAGCAACTCATAGATTATTTTAAGGAGACAATTTGATGTACATTGCTGTTTGAACCAGTATTTTACAACCATTAAATATCTATTAATATACAAAGGAAACCGACCTAGTTCACCATATACAGCCATATTAGTAACATTGTGATGAACTTTAAGGATATTTTTACAAAATTTTAAATGTACACGCTCAGTTTCAGTTGTGATGTGCAAACCCCAGACTTCACAACCTGGTGCATAGAAGATGTAACAAATGAATCAAACAGACCACAACATGTTTTAGCAGAAAGGTGATAATTTCTAATGTTATGGAGCAGAACATTCATAGCTTTTGAACTTTTACCAGCTAACAATTTTTGAGTAAATCTGAAATTACCTGTGTATGTAATCATGTTACCTAAGTAGTTAAATTTATCTACAATCTCAAGCGGCATAGTATTAATATACCAATGCTCATCCTGGTTTAATTTTCGTCTTTTTTGCGGAAAATCATCACTTTTGTCTTCATAATGTTAACGTGTAGGCCCCAGTCACTACAGTATTCATACAAACTATCCAGAGAGTGTTGAAGTCCACTCGGCGATTCAGCAAACAAGATCATGCCATCAGCAAACAATATAAGGAACAGATTGACATTTTCAATCCAAAGACCACTATCGACGTTTTCTTGGAGCTTCATTTTGAGATCTTCCATGAACAAGGAAAAAAATATGTCAGTTATTCAATACAGATGAAAACACTTTTGCAAAGCCACTATTAATTGTGATGCCGCGATAGTTCGATGTTAAATGAGCGTCTCCGTTTTTATGTAGAGGAATGATAACTCCATTCCATTCTTTAGTAGAGATTATCTTATGATCACTCACTTTAACATAGTGACATTGGGTTGACTGTACTCATAATCACTTTTCTCTTAGGGAAAACAAGAGCTTCGTTGCTAAATGCAAAATGTCCAAACGGAGAAAAGAGTATTGTGTTGGAAACTTTAACATTGTATCTATGCCCTTAGAGTATTATGTTGGAAACTTTAACATTGTATCTATGCCCTTAGAGTATTATGTTGGAAACTTTAACATTGTATCTATGCACTTAGAGTATTATGTTGGACACTTTAACATTGTTATGCCCTTAGAGTATTATGTTGGAAACTTTAACATTGTATCTATGCCCTTAGAGTATTATGTTGGAAACTTTAACATTGTGTCTATGCCCTTAGAGTATTATGTTGGAAACTTTAACATTGTATCTATGCCCTTAGAGTATTATGTTGTAAACTTTAACATTGTATCTATGCCCTTAGAGTATTATGTTGTAATCTTTAACATTGTATCTATGCCCTTAGAGTATTATGTTGGAAACTTTAACATTGTATCTATGCCCTTAGAGTATTATGTTGGACACTTTAACATTGTATCTATGCCCTTAGAGTATTATGTTGGAAACTTTAACATTGTATCTATGCCCTTAGAGTATTATGTTGGAAACTTTAACATTGTATCTATGCCCTTAGAGTATTATGTTGGAAACTTTAACATTGTATCTATACCCTTAGAGTAATCATTGCCTTGTAGATTTCACATTCCTCATAAAAAGTCAGTTAGCATGCCAGAGAGTGGTACCTGATTTAATACATTGACACCATTTTTGATGAATTCGCTACGGCACAGATAGCTGCAGCGGTATATATGATGCCTCATTGGGATCACATGTATTTAGCTAGATCAACATTTACCTATCGAGCAAACAAAAGAGCCTAAAAGCCACATATAACTTTCTTATAGAATATAGTTTACTAAACAGTACAAATATTGACACAGAGGTGGAGATAATGTATTCCCAGGCTTGATTTATTCATATCCTTATTGATTATTTAACTTGTTGGATACTTACACTCGCGTCTGTTTGCTGTATCGCATCGTTAGATCTATCGTATATGCGATCACGGGTTTTAACTGTGACGTTTTAACACACATTGACAGAATGTACTCACAGGCCTTTTGTTGAATGACGTTGGTAGCAAAACAGTTCTATAGAAACACAGGTTGCTATACAACTTTCAATTGTCCTGGTGAGTAGAATATTTAAACTTTCAGATAAATGTTTATGGTTTCATTATGAACAGGAGAATATTTGCACAAATGGCATCTTAGAATTTCCCGTGTACCCTGATTGTTTTATGGATATTGAACTATTCACTTTCGCACACCGTACACTGAACTGACTTAGGGTGAGCCACGTCTTGTTGACACAGGATGCATATTTAATCTTTCTGGTAATAAATCAAATTAATCTAGGTCTGAAAAAGAATTTATATGGGAGTGAATAATGTGTTAAGTTCATATTTTTGTTTTCACTGACAAACTCGATGGGTGAAGTTTTCGAATATTTTAGGGAGAACTGTTCTCTTTAGAACGGGACCAAATTACGGATAATGTTGCCAGGTCACCCAGATCAGACAAATTCCATAAACGTTTATGGATCTGAAGCAGAGCATTCTATAAAACGTTTCTGTAAAACTGGAACGATCAAGTATTTTCATGTTTATTTTAAGATCTAAAAACGAGCAACTATAAGAATGACATACGAAAGACATGTGCAACTTTGCAAACCTCACAAAGCATTTCTCTCCAAAGTGATATGCCTGTTAAAATATATGTTTCAATGATGAACTAAAACACATTTAGTTTTTTGGCAAAGATGAAAAATTATTATGTTGATACACATCTCTTACCTTTCTTCAAACTACACTCCACCCTGTGCTTTATGCCTTCACTTCAACAGGTGCCAACAGCTCTAACTTTTTCACTTAAGGTGGTGACATGTACCTAATACAATCCAACACCTGCAAACAGGTCCACTGATTGCTAAGTAAAAGTCAGTAGCTCTATTGCCCGTTTCCTAGTGTAAAGAGTCAAGGGCGGAGCACTCTCAGTGATCGCTTTGTCTCACACCGAATCAGAAATCCATACCATCAGGTCCACTTCCACACAGGCAACTACTGGTCAGCGAATATCCCTTGTTGACTAGTACATGTCGGCTCTGTTCGGACGGCTGGGGGAATTTCGCTGCGTCTTATCCGAGCACAGGTTTATGGAGTAGTTTATAGAAATACTGAATTGTATCTGCGCGAAAATCTCATTATTAGCCTGGCGCTGTTGACAATGGTTTTCTGTGTACGCTACCCGGGACGAGATAACACTTTCAATGAAATCAATGCCAAGTCGACTCTACATGCATGTTGATCTTTGTATGTCGCCAAGTCCGTTGAATGGTTCACACCGCCTTACCGGGACCGCTGCATTTACCTAGAGTACTGCACACTATAATCAGTGGTTAAAGATTGCCTAGCCTGCGACGGTCTCGGTATAAAACATTCTACGGCTAGTATGGTCATTGGATGCTTCTAGTATTTATTTTCAAATAGTCCTGTCAATACTTTATATTTTTAATTGAAGTAAATTATATGGCTATGCATTTTTTTACAGGCCTTGGCGCTTTATCAAGGGCTTGAAAAGCTCCTTTCAGCCGTGACGTTTTGTAGATCAATTCGGTTGGTAAAAATGTTGACGACAATGCTTAGTGGTCGCTGCTTGCTGCAATATTGCGCTTGAGAAATTGGATCTATGATCGATTCTTTTCAATAGGTATCGAATTAAATTGCCACCAGGAAGGAGAAAAGTAACCATAGCATCGTCTGGATGAATCGAATAGCATACTCAATACAGGTCATAAATGTCTGGGTTTAATTTGTGCGGTGGTGATATTTGTCAGAACACGTAGAGTTAGGTGGGTGGGTGAGTGAGTGAATATTTAGGTGATGTAGGAATATTGGGTGGTGATATTGAGCGGTGATATAGTAATATTTGGTTGTGAATGGTAATATCGGGTGGTGATATGGTCATATCGGGTGGTGATATGGAAATATTGAATGGTGGTGATGTAGTAATATTTGGTGGTGATCTGGTAATGGTTGGTGGTGGTGATATAATAATATTGAATGGTGGTGATGTAGTAATATTTGGTGGCGATACTGAGTGGTTAGATAGTAATACTGGATGGTGACATAGTAATTTATGGTGGTGATATAACATAGGTTGGTGACATAGTAATATTGGATGGTGATCTGGTAATGGTTGGTGGTGGTGATATAATTATATTGAATGGTGGTGATGTAGTAATATTTGGTGTTGATATATTGAGTGGTGATATAGTAATATTGGCTGGTGATAAGGTAATATTGGATGGTGTTATAGTAATTTATGGTGGTGATATAACATAGGTTGGTGACATAGTAATATTGGATGGTGATCTGGTAATGGTTGGTGGTGGTGATGTAGTAATATTTAGTGATGATATTGAATGGTGATGAAGTAATATTTGATGGTGATATGGTAATATCAGGTGGTGATAAGGTAATATTGTGTGGGGATATAGTAATACTGGGTGGTCGTAATCACACACGGTCATAAGGTAACGCTGCAGGGTACCACTGGCTGCAGATATGCTCCCAGTATCCGCACTATCCGACTACATGGTACGGAACACCTTGAAGGGTGCCTGACTACATGCTGTAACAAGGGACCGGCTGCAGAAACCCATTGTGGAGGGTAGTGGGATCTGCTAACACTTGGTAACAGTGGGTTTGAGACAATGGGCACCGGCTGCAGATGGTTATTATTTTATTGCAGAATACATGTATGGTTATATTTAGTGCAGACGTCAACACTGATGTTTATATGTTAACACTGGCCGCAGATTTGGTAACATTGTGTGGTGATACGGTAACACAGGGTGAGATATGGTAACAGTGGGTATTGTGATATGGCAACTGTACTGTAGCATATGGTAACATTGTATTGGTGATACGGTTATTATGGGGTACTGTAGCATATGGTAACAGTGTGCAGAATACGGTAACACTGATGGGGGTTAGCATATGGTAACATTGTATTGGTGATACGGTAACACTGATGTTGTAGCATATGGTAACATTGTATGGTGATACGGTAACAATGAGTGGGGCATACGGTAGCATATGGTAACAGGTGTGGGCCGCAGATGGTAACATTGTGGTGATACGGTAACACTGGGTGGGGGTACTGTAGCATATGGTAACATTGGTGGTGATACGGTAACACTGGGTGGGGTACTGTATATATGGTAACATTGTATGGTGGGGTAACACTGGGTGGGGGGTACTGTAGCATATGGTAACGTGTATGGTGATACGGTAACACTGGGTGGGGTACTGTAGCATAGCATATGGTAACAGACTGGGTATGGTGATACGGTAACACTGGGTACGGGGTACTGTAGCATATGGTAACAGTGTAGCATACGGTAACAACATTGTATGGTGATGTAACACTGGGTAACACATATGGTAACGTGTATGGTGGGTAACACTGGGTGGGGTACTGTAGCATATGGTAACAGTGTATGGTGATGTAACAGTGTATGATACGGTAAGACTGGGTGGGGGTACTGTAGCATATGGTAACATTGTATGGTGATATGGTAAACGGTGGGTGGGGGTACTGTGCATATGGTAACATTGGTGATAGGTAATACTGGGTGGGGTACTGTACATATGGTAACAGTGTATGGTGATACGGTTACACTGGGTGGGGTACTGTAACATATGGTAACATTGTGTGGTGATACGGTAACACTGGGTGGGGTACTGTAGCATATGGTAACATTGTGTGGTGATACGGTAACACGGGGAGTACTGTAGCATATGGTAACATTTTGTGGTGATACGGTAACACTTGGTGGGGGTACTGTAGCATATGGTAACATTGTATGGTGATACGGTAACACTGGGTGGGGGTACTGTAGCATATGGTAACATTGTGTGGTGATACGGTAACAGTGTGTGGTGATACGGTAACACTGGGTGGGGGTACTGTAACATATGGTAACAGTGTGTGATGATACGGTAACAGCGTATGGTGATACGATAACACTGAGTGGGGGTGATATATGTTAACATTGTATGGTAACGGTAACAGTGTATGGTGATGTGATACGGTAACACTATGGTAACAGTGTGTGGTGATACGGTAACACTGGGTACTGTACATTAACATTGTATGGTGATACGGTAACAGTGTATGGTGATGTGGTAACACTGGGTGGGGGTACTGTAGCATATGGTAACAGTGTGTGGTGATACGGTAACAGCGTATGGTGATACGGTAACACTGGGTGAGGGTACTGTAGCATATGGTAACATTGTATGGTGATACGGTAACAGTGTATGGTGATGTGGTAACACTGGGTGGGGGTACTGTAGCATATGGTAACATTGTATGGTGATACGGTAACAGCGTATGGTGATACGGTAACACTGGGTGGGGGTACGGTAACATATGGTAACATTGTATGGTGTTGTAGATACCAGTACAATGCGTGTAGTAGGAATGTGCAGTAGTTGGAGGGTGGCCAACTTCACACATCACGCACGTGTTTGTGGCTACAGGTTGCAACACGTGCAAACTACATGTATCAAATTTGATCAGTCTTGCATTGGATGCTTGCCGTCAACAATTGCATATATAATTTTTTATGATACCCTTCGCTTCCTTAAGAAAATATTTGAATATAAGTTCAACCCCCGATGTAGGTTCGAGGAAACATTCGACAGCGTTCACTGTAAATACCCCTTTTAAATTACACATCCCTCTCAGAATGAGATACAGATAAAACAGCCGAACCCTTTCTTTGGGAGCCAACGTCTTCAGAAACTAAAATATTGTGAATATTCGATTACCGTAACTGATCTTTCACACCAAACGGTATATTTGACGGTTTACTCACACCTCGCTTAAAACCATAACGTACTGAATCGATAGGTACTGTCAGTCCGCCTATCTTCATTCTGATATAATGAGTTTAAGCACATTGTTCATCTTTGTCGGCCCTTGGTTCGCATAGACGACCGTGGCCTTCGCATACCCCTCGAAAACGATGTAGAAGAAGTAAGTTCTTGTACATATGTTATTTGTAATCACATCGTTGGGTTTTAAGTCCGGAGGAATTTCTGCTTCCAGTTTGGCATGTCAAGCCCCTTTGACTGCATGGTCCTCTCAACAGCTTCTTACAGGATCTGATGTTACCGCCAAGGACTTGAAAACATGATTTATGAATGCCTCAACTTCCACGTGATTGTGACAAGGCTAGATTTACAACCTGTACAATTTATTACCTATTCTGAAATGTGTTCTGTCAAAAGAACCACCTGGTGTATGAGCTCATGAGCCCAGGCCCCAAATCAGTTGAAGTTAATCAATCATTGGTCACGGAGAGTCCTCGGATGGGTGACCGTGTTTGGCAGCTTGACTCCTGTCAGTTTCTAGGGCTTCTGTCCTGCCCCACAAAGAAGTACACATGCGGTCTTACCTTAGGCCAGTGAGTTTGTTCAAACTTGCCTCTGTTCACCCAGCAGAAAATGGGCACGGTTGGATAAGACATATGACTATTAACCTATTAACATGTCCATCATGTTGTATGCGCTTAGCGCATGTCCCTGCGGCTATGTAAGTTCAGCTATATAAGTGGCTTTATCACTAACTGACCTTGGAGTGAGTGAGTGAATTTAGCAATATTCCAGCAATATCACGACGGGGGACACCAGAAATGGGCTTCACACGTTGTACCCATGTGGGAAATCGAACCCGGGTGTTCGGCGTAACGAGCGATCGCTTTAACCACTAGGCTACCCCACCGCCCCAGCCGACCTTGGATGTAAGTCGAGGTCATGGCAAGACTCCAGTTGAACTCGTCACAGTTTTTTGTTACCATAAAATCATTTTGCTTCAGTGTTTTATGTTACAGCTTCCCAATCATGTTCGTGTGTGTGTTAAAACAAGGTCAATGTAGAATAGATATTATAGAAAACGCGACAACAATGATTGTGGAATGTTCATGCCAAAAGAAAGAAATTCTTATCGCTCTTCAGTATTTCAATGTGATACTGTTGATGTTAAATTGCCCATCACAGTTCTTGGGTGTCGGCGTTTGGGACGCTAGAAGTACGTAAATAAATCATCGTTCATAAAAGTATTCCTTAGTGACAATAAATTCACATTCAGAACGAGAAATCACCTTAATGCTGCCTCGTGGATCAAACATATTCTTTGAGTCCTATTCGGAGCCACGCTCTTCGGTACCTGGTCACCACTGAAAATTTGGTCTAAAATACTGAGCTACCGTGGTTTCCACACCAATGCTGTGAATACACCATGATTTATTAGTGAATGAGTTTAGTTGTACACCGCAATATCCCAGCTATATGGCGGCGGTCTGGAAATAATTGAGTCTGGGCCAGACAATCCAGGGATTAACAGCATGAGCATCGATCT